TGGCGTGGCCATCCCCCCTAGGGGGTGATTTCTCACTTTCTGTCTCTGTCTCTGTCTGTCTGGCGAGCGCACGTGCCCTATAGCAAAAACCTCTCCAAAAAAATTATTATTTTATATTTAACTTTATTTATTTATTTATTTTTAAATTTGACCAGAGAGGGACAGAGAGAGAGAGAGAGAGAGGGAAAGCCAGAAAGTAAACTGCCAGATCCAGAACTCAAACTGTGGTCGACCATGTGAGAATCTAGTGCCTTTAACTACTACGCTGCTCTCGCTAGCCCCCCCAAAAAAATTCTTAAAAAACGGGGAGGGGGCCGGTAGATGACATGGTGCTTAAAGGCGCTGGACTCCCACATAGCTGACTGCAGTTCAAATCCTGGACCTGGAGGCTTGCTTTCTCACTTTCCTCTCTCTCTCTCTCTCTCTCTCTCGCTCTCGCTCTCGCTCTCTCTCGCTGTGATCAAACTGGAAAATAATAATAATACAGTTAAATTAAAAAATTCTAAAAATAAAAGTCATTTTGCAATGTTTATCAGGAGCCACAGAAATGTCTATGCTCTTTGACTCACTCAACCTCTCTGGGGAATTGATCCATGCTCTGTGGGATTGCTTAAGGGATCGTTGTCCAACACAGTATCTGATCCTGTTATCACCCTCTTGCTTTAAACTTCTCCACGATAAAATCTAAGTACTAGGTGTCTGGCTTTCTCCAGCTCCTGCCAACCCTACCCTCTGTTAGCAGCCCATCTGTAAAGTGGAGATAACAATAGCACCTGTCTTGGGCGCCTGGCACGACGGTATTGCCTAGTGGTATTGCTGGTAGTTCCGGTGCAGTTTCATCTCCTGCCATTTGAGGGTAACTATACATATTGTAAAATGGCTTCTTGGCCTTTGCCCCTATCAATCCTCTGCTTGCGATGCCTCTTCTCTCAGTTCGGTTAACGCACATTTTTCAGGGCTCCAGGGTTTGCTTTCTTTTCTTTCTTTTGTCTTTTTCTTTCTTTTTGAGAGATTTTTGCTATAGGCCATGCATACTCGCTGGAGAGAGACAGAAAGCGAGAATCCCCCCCCCCCCCCAGGGGGATGGCCACACTACAATCCCTTCGCCTTGAAAGATTTGGGGCATGCACACGTGCCTGTAGTGAGTTTCAAGGCCCCTGGTCCGGAACTGGCCACGGGAAAGTCCAGCGCCTTAACCACTATGCCACCTGATGGTCCCTCAAGGTTTGTTTTCTAAGGAAAGCCTGCTTTGACCACCCTCTGCCTCCTGACTCCAGTGTGTACCCCATTAAGCATTCATCTCTCTGCTGCAGACATTGCTGATTAATTACTTAATCCCCCCACCACCAAATAGACTTGGAAGACCCCAGAAGGGTCACCCTAACATGTTTATTAGGGGCTCAGCCTTGTTGGCACAGGCATTGGCATACTGATCTGCAGAAGCTACATAACTACTGGAAGTCAGATCCAGAGTGGAAACACGCAGGGCAGGCATGTGTCCAAGATCCTGACTGGCTGGAGAGCTGAGGGAAGGGGACTGCAGTATGAGGAGAAACTGTCTAGAGTTCCTGTCTCTCTCTGTCTGCCTGACTCTAAAGAAATAAACCTTTAAAAAATGTGTTCATGGGCCAGCAGGTGACATGGTGATTAAGGACTCTGGACTCCCACATAGCCAACTGCAGATCAAGTCCTCTACCTGGGGATTTGCTTTCTCACTCCCCCACCCCTCTGGTCAAATATAAATGAATGAATAAATAAAGTTAAATAAAAATAATTCTTTGAAAAAAAAGTAGGGGGACCAGCAGGTGGCATGATAGTTGAGGTGCTAGACACTTCCACATGGCTGACCACAGTTCGAGTCCCAGATCTGGAGGCTTGCTTTCCCGCTTTCCCTCTTCCCTTTCTCTCTCTTTCTGTCTCTCTCTGGTCAAATTAGAATGAATGAATGAATGAATGAATACACTTGAATAAATCATTATTTTTTTAAAAATGTAGGGCTGGTAGGTGGTGTAGTGGTTGAGGGCACTGAAGTCCCACATGGCTGACCATGGTTCAAGTCCTGGACCTGTTACCTTGCTTTCTCCACCCCCCCCCACCCCGTCTCACTCTGGTCAAATTTTAAAAATAACAATAGTGATAAATAAAGGAAATAATTCTTTTTTTAAAAAAATGTGTTCATTAGGAGCCAGTGGGTGGCATGGAGATTAAGGCAGCTGGATCCCACATGGCTGACTCTGCAGTGCGAGTTCTGGACTTGGCAGCTTAAAAACCACACCAGCTGACCTGCTTCCTGAAATGAGGGCTCACAAGGGTGGGCCAGAGGACTCTGCTTCAAGAGAACTAACAACAATGAGGGCTCAAATCCTGAGTTTATACAGAAATGTTTTTCTTTAAAGAATTATTTATTTGGGGCCTGCAGGTGGCATGGTGGTTAAGGCTCTGGACTCCTAGATGGTTAACCACAGTTCAAGTCCTGGACCTGGCAGCTCGCTTTCTCCCTCTCCTGCTCTCTCTGTCTGTCTGTCTCACTCCAGCCAAATGAAATAATAATAATAAATAAAATAAAATTAAAATTAAAATTAAAGTCACACCAGGTAGAGGCTGGCAGGTGGTATGGTTAAGGGCACTGGACTCCCACATGGCTGACCACGGTTCGAGTTCTAGACCTAGTTAGTAGCTTGCTTTCTCACTTTCCATCTCTTTCACTCTCTCACTCTATCCTTCTTTAGTTGAGTTCAAATTAATGAATTAATTAATTAAATAAATAATTCTTTAAAAAAAAAAATCACACCAGGTGGGGCTGCAGGTGGCACCATGGTTAAGATACTGGACTCCCCACATGACCGACCATGGTTTGAGTTCCTGACTGGTGGCTTGATTTCTTACTTTCTCTTTCTCTCTCTCTCTGGTTAAATGTTTCGTTTTGTTTTCTCTTTTCTCTGGTTAAATTTTTTTAAAGAATTACTTTATTTAACTTTATTTATTTAGTTAGTTAGTTAGTTACTTACTTTAATTTGACCAGAGAGGGACAGAGAGAAAGAGAGAGGGAAGGTGAGAAAGCAATCTGCCAGGTCCAGGACTCAAACCGTGGTTCGCCACGTGGGAATCCAGTGCCTTAACTACCATGTCACCTGCTAGCCCCTCTCTGGTTAAATGTTAAAAATTAATAACAGAGGCTGGCAGGTGCTGTGGTGC